TAAATTTATCATAAAAGTCCATGGTTACTTCTTTTACATTTATATATGAAGATATGTACTCTGACTGGGATTAAAGTTTGAAAGTTTAGTTCTATAGTAATCTGTCTATAGTCTCTAGGTTATCTTCATACCATCTATACAATAACGGTTCCAAAGGGAAAATGTGATTATGAAAAGAGCTACCTGTGCACAAATAAAAGACTTCTTTTAAACCTAGAATGAAGCCAAGCAGTTGCCTCTGAATTCCAGTCTGTCAAGACAAGTATTTAGGGGCACTTGAACAGGGATAGTTGTTTGCCTGACTGAGCTCTCACTTTAGTGAGGGTCCAAGGCCTGCAGTGTTATTCATGGAATGATTTCTAGGTTTCAGAAACAGTCCAGCTTTCAGTTTAAAATAGATTTCATGTTGACCACTTCAGAAGCTGTCTTTGAACTTTAGCTGGTTTCAAGTTCCACAACATCACACTTCTAACCCTTAGACTTCCCCAAAAAACTCAGTATTCAAGATTCCATCATGTATCCTCCCCACTGAACATGTATGCAAATATTCAATGAGTTTTTAGATAATTTTTATCACATTATCAGATGCCATAGCCAAAACAAAGCTCAGTTTCTGTGCCTATAGCAGAAAACAATATTTGGCTATTATTTAGAAGGTCCTATTTGGAAGATAATAAACATAACTTGCAAATTATGCAAAAATAAAAGTTCCATTCCATGCTTCATCTACAACTCCCTACTAATCAAACAATTCTATTACAGAAAATATTTTTACAACTATAATAAGGATGACATAATTAAGAGAAAATAAATCATATCTGTAAACATTTAAAGGTCAATAGAAGAGAAATTCAAGGGACTATAATTAGGAACAATAAAATGTAAGCATTTTCATAGTCTTGTTATCCAAGGAATTAAATCAGAATTACTAACTAGGTGACTCACCCCTTTCCCCACGTGATATCTGTTATTGAACATGGAAAAAGGAAAGGGAAAAATTAATAGAATTGGTCAAAATCAAGCAAGAAGTAAAAATAAGGGCCTCAATCCTTTGTCACTCTAAGAGACTATTATGACACTTTGATATCAGTGTTACAATTGGTAGTTATCTGACAGTTCTTCAATACCTTAACTTGATGAAACCTCAAGCCAAAAGTAGCAATCACTTAAACATACATACACACACATACACACACATGCACACAAATATACACACTTTTTATTTCCCAACCTCTCATCTTATGAATGGCCAATGAAGAAATGGCATACCTCACTGGTTCCACTTTCCCTACCATCCTAAGAATTCTGCTAACACTTTTTGTGTTAGTTAGCTTCCTGTTACTGCAATAAAATACCTGATGTAACCAATGTATAAAAAGAAAGGTTTATTTTAGCTTAAAGTTTTGGAGGCTTTCAGGACTGATTGGCCTCACTGCTTTCAGCCTGTAATGGCATAGTACATCATGATGGGAGAATATGGCACCTTATGGCAACTGGGAGAATATGGCACCTTATGGCAACTGAAGCAAAGAGAACAGGAGAAAAAGGCTATATCCCAATATCACTTTTAAGGATAAGCCTCCAAAGACCAAACTTCCTCCCACTATGCCCAGCCCCTTAAAGGTTCTGCCACCTCCCAATTGTGTAATGAACATTTAACACATGGGCCTTTAGGGGAATTTAAGATCTAAACTCTAGCACTTTTATCCTGAAAAGTCAGACTCATCAATTGAAACACAATTATTTTCTTCTGATTCTTATAAATGGCATTACAGTTAATTTTTTAATGACCTTGCATGGTTTTAATGTTTAGGACTTTCTTTGACTCATGGAACCACAATGTCATCCAATTTTTAGAAATTATAAAGCTCATGGAAGCATATACCCATGCCACATGTAATATTATGTAGGCAGATATTGGGGTGGTATCCCCTACTTGTTAGCTTACTTACAATTTGTAAATATTTTATTTTGCAAGTTGGGTCTAGAGCTATGAAACCAAAGTTTCTCAATATATTGTTGCAGGTCATTATTTGTACATGTCCTGTATCAAAGACAGTGGACACTTCTGGTTGAATTAATAACTTTAATTAACCATTACAAAATTAAATGGTATTATTTCTCAACAGTTGAAACTTTTCATCTCTGAATTTAGAAAATTATTTTATAACACAGAATCCCTAACTTTGAAAATGATCATCATGTTAATAAAAATCAAAGCAATGAAGAATAAACATGAACCACATGGTCCCTTTAGAAATTAAACAAGCCTTATTAAAGGTACCAGATGCTTTCTGAAAGCATCACAGAAGTTTCTGCAACATTAATTATATATCTCATAAACAGCAAAGTTTGGAAATGTGTGTTAATAAGATAATCAATAATTGCAGGTTTAACTCTATGTCAGTTCCAATTTTAAAAGAAATAACATGTTTTTCAATGAGCCCCATTTTCAAAGCAGAAAAATGCTATTTTTAATCATCAAAGATATACTGAAGCCATTATTTGTCAAGTGAAATATCACAGCACTTGAATAGTTTGTCCTGATCCTTATTCCATAAGGATACTCTTAAGCCAGAATTCATTTAAGTCCTAAGCTAGTTATCTGCTGCCCTTGAATACTTTTTGGACACTATTCAATGAGGGCCAGGAAACTGCATCAGAGCATATCAGCAATGACTTTCATTCACTACAATGCCCTTTGAAAAGATGTTCAGAAGCAAGTATCAGGACAGAGAAATGGCATACCCTATTCCTGACTTACAGAGTACTACATAATTATGTGAACCCCTGAGCAGTCTCACTCAAAAAAAGAATATCCAATCAAAGCATCAAATTCTACAAGGTACAGCTTTTCTAAAGACTCTTCTTTAACTTAGCAGCATGTGAACCTTGTCAGATTACTCTCAACATGACTCTGTACATTAACAGAAAAATACTATTCTGTTAATACAATACACAAATACAATCTAAGGAAACTCAACTTTTGAAACACCATCAAGAAACACTGACTACAAATAATAAATATTTATACAAATGTATATGTGACATTCATAGTCATTCAAGCTTATTTTTCTCAAGGCTTAAAAAGTATTATGTGTATGTAGCCAAAGAAAAGCATACTTGGCTAGGAATCTGGAGACAGGTTTGAGTTTCAACTTTTTGCACTGATATCTCCTATTTCTAGGGTCAGTCACTTCATTTTTCTTAGAGTTTCCTTATCTCTAAAATGAGTAGGGCAGACTCCACAACTGTTGAAGTTGTAGCTCCATGATTTGCCACCCACAGCCCTTCTAGTATTTGTTTTATAAGTTACTCACATGCATGCCTTTGCTGTACACGGCACTATAGAAATATGGCCTTTTGGTTTTGCCTAGGTTTTATACACTACTCCTAGACTTTTTTATTGTATTATCCACAAATATAACTATTGCTCATAGTCACCAAGGTAGTGATAATTACTGCAACAGCTAGTACTTACATAAGTGCTTATTACATGACTATACTGTACTAAGCACTTTACACATATGAACTCTTCTCACCACAAACCCATGGGAAAGAAACCATTATTATTCCCATTTTTGCAACTGAGGGGACTGAGGTACAGGTGGGTTATGTAACTTGCCCAGGGTCAAAAAGTTTACAAGTGGAAGAGTTGGGATTCAAACCCCAACCCGCTCCTAGAAGCCCATCAGTTTAACTCCAGCCTTGCACTTGGCTAGAGGGTCCATAGAAGGTGAAGTGCAGCAGAGTTCATCCACAAAATATTGGCAGAGTCCCCAAAACTGCACTCATACTATGAATTCTCCCAGGAATAACCAATAGTTTGTGATTTACAAACCCAGCATACATACTTGCAATTCTTAATTCTTTCTTCCCTGCTTCAGTTGTGCAAGTAAATAACAAGGATGGAAAAGAGATTAAACTAAATCTACCTTCCTTCTCTCAATTATTTGGGGAAATGTACAAATAACAGGAACTGTGGGACTACTGGTAACTTCCACATCCCACTGCTGAGTAGGCAGAGCTCCGTTATAACAAGCTTCCAGTAATGGTCCAGGGACGTTGCATGTTAAGTCATGTCCCCCAAAAACGAACAGCTGAAAACAGTGACATAGAAACACCAGTTCTGCAGCCTCAAATCTCTAAGACTGGGGAGTCTAAGAGCCTGGGACCATGAGGTAACAAAAAACTACCTCTGCAGCAAAATATATTACAGTGTGCAATTAAACTCGTCAGTGGTATACAAAATTAGGGCAGAGAGAAAATACTGGTAATCAAAAAAAAAAAAAAAGCCCTATTTAGCTATTCAGCACATTGTTTTTGTATATGTATACTCATATATTTCCCCAATTATTAACCAACTCCAATCTTGCACTTGGCTGAGATTCAAGAGATCTTCCCTATGGGAACCAGAGCTGAGTTCTGGAACCCGGGCAGCCGCCCCTAGGCTGCCCACGAGGCGGGGCAAGTCCTCGTTTGGCAAGGACAAAAGGAAATTACTTCAGCGAAGAGGAGACGGTGAGCTCCTCCCGTAGGACAAAGCCACACTTTGGCTCACCACATCCCGCCCGAGTTTCACGTCCAAGGCCACGGACTTCTATCGCCTGCTCTTCAAACCCAGCACTGACAGACAAGGGGATGAGAGCGGTACTGAGAAACGATGGGAAGAGAAGGTGTTTTGTTTTCCCAAAGGGGAAAACAAACCCACATTTTAATCAAAACAACCTATGGAGAAGCCAGCGAAGACTTCTTCGCCCGGCCTGTCTCAGGACTTTTGAATCACTTCCTCCTTTTCTGATGTGTCTGAGTTTGAGATTACAAAGTTGCTGAGAAAGTCTTGCCTCTCCGGCAGCTTCCTGCGAGTGAGAGCAGGCGCTGACCCTGCCCGGCGCCGCCACCTCGGGCGGGAACCGGAGGGCGCCGCAGCGCGAGGAGGGACTGGGATGGGTTCCGCGGGGACAGAGCGCGAGCGCTGCCCAGCCGCCTCTCCTGCTTACCCCAGGGTGCTGATGAAGCCGTTGACAGAGCCCTCCGCGTACAGGGACACGATGTCCCCTATGTAGAGGAAGCTGGACATTTTATCAGACATGCTGCTTCATGTTCCAAAGTGAACCTCCCTCCTCTTCCCTGCGCCCTCGCTGCTCTCTCCAAAGGAGCTGCAGCGGCAGAGGCAGAATGGAGCGCAGGACCGCTGCAGCGGCGCAGGGCACAGTCCCAGTGACCGAGAATAGGGGTTCAGCCTGCTTCCGCACCGCAGGAGCGGGGCAGGAGCAAAGGCGCCCTGTGGACACCCCGCGACGTGCGCAGCCCCGACGCCCCGAGAAGCTGCAGCAGCCGCCTCCCCGGCAGGTTTCCTGTTCCTTCAGAAGTTTTCTCTCCAACACCTTTGCTCCTCCTCCTCCCTCCTCCGCTCCCTTCTTCGAGTCCCCTCCCCGATCGGCGTCCCGCCGCAGCCGTCACCGTCACCGCAGCCCCGCGGGAGCTGGAGGTTGCAGAGCCCCTCGGTCCCCTCAGGGGAATTTTTGGACCAGGTGCTGGTGCCCATCCGATCACGCAGAGGAGAGGATCCCAGGGGAGGCGGGGGCATCCAATCAGGCAACGGCGACCGGGGGCGGAGCTGGACAGGGGCGGGGCGACTCTGAGGAGGCCGGGCCACCGGGGAAGCTGAGGAGGTGGACGCAGCTGCGGGCGCGGGGAGGAGCACTGGGCGGTGCTGGAAGAGCTGCAGGGGGCCGGAGCCTCCGGGGGGACGCTGCCTATTCTAACTGGAGAGGAAGGACCTGGGGCTCGACAGTCCCTGCCTGGGAAAGCGAATGAGCCTGAAAGGGACTAAAAGGGTGCGAATTGGTGAAGGGGAGGGTGCATGCATGACCCATGCTCAGTGGAATGAACCAGCGAGACTCCTGAACATGAAAACGTGGAGTAGGGGTGTGGATGGGGTGGATGGGATTGAGTAACTCGCTGATCAAGGGAGAGGAAGAGGTTGAAGTGAAGGAAAACATACAAATAAAAAATAAATACATAATAAAGAAAAGGAGCGAGGAGGGAGTAAAAATCTCGCTTGGCATATGTAATTTTGTTGTTTTGTTTTTCTCAAGTATATTAGCCTTAGTGAAACTTGACCCAGGAGCAGATGTCTAGGTGAGTGCGAGCTTTCCTCACTTGGCCGAGCCTGCAATTTTTGTAGCCAGCCCCTGACGTTGAGGGCACTGTGGACCTGTGCCTTCTCTTAACTTCTGTTAAGCCTCCAAGGCTGGGCCTCCTGTGCTTCCTTAACTTCAAGCCAAGGCTAACCATGTACCTCCTGGAGCCCATTGTCACTGTCTCATTGACAGCCCTTGCTTGTTTACATTTAAAGTTGATGACTTTTGAAGCTCCAGCCGTTGCAAACTAACTGGAGGCAGCACACGCTTGAAATCCTTCTCTGTTGCTTTTGAAGTCTTCACCTTAGAACATCGTTTTAAAAGTCTTTCACCCTACCCTTCTAGAAGACATGAAGGAGGCAAACTCCAGCAGTGATGACAGTCAACACTCAATTAAAAAAAATGAATGCTACTTAAAGTAATCCCACAGAGCAACGTTTGCAGAAAAGCAGAGGAACTCTGGGAATGCAGAGGATATGTGCCAAATTATGCAACTGGCCAAAATGTACCTTACAGTTCAATGATGTCACTCATGTCTTACAGCTCAAAGATGGTTTGGGTTGAAATTTATAGTCATACAATAGACTGTGAGAGAAAAATCAGCTTAATATTCAAATGTTTGTATTTAGAAAGCCTTCAGGAAAGAAAAGAATAGACTCTGGATCCAGGAAATGCCAGTACAAAGTCTGTGTGTGTTGAGATAAACTGAACCTAGTCATTGACTTACCATGCAGCTGAGAGATCTCTTTACTTCTGTGTTCTGGAAAAGATAACTTAGCTACTTAGAAATGCCTATTACATGATAGAAGCCTTCTTCTGCCTACACATGTGACATTACTATTGGGAGCCTGCAAGAAACTGGCCATAATTATTAAAAAGCTTGAGATGGAACAAGATGATGAGTGTAGAAATGGAACTTTCTTTTTTTGTGGAGTGGCGGGGGTGGGGTACTAGGGGTTGAACTCAGAGCACTCCACCATTGAGCCCCCACCCCAGCCCTATTTTGCATTTTATTTGGAGACAGGGTCTCACTGAGTTGCTTAGGACCTCAATTTTGCTGAGGCTGACTTTGAACTTGTGACCCTCCTGCCTCAGCTCATGAGCCAGTGGGATTACAGGTGTGAGCCACAGTGCCCAGAGGAAGTTTCTTTTTGTCCAAGTGACCTATGCATTACATTCTATGGTTCTCCATATTGCACAGTCCTGTGCTATACATCTAATGGATGCTCAACAATTACTGGTCAAAGACATGAATGTTCTTTGTTATCTCAAGGCACAGAGTAACTGTGGACAACACATAATAAAATGAGCAGGTGAGTGTTTATGCTCATGAACAGATAAAAGTATCAAGTCATGTACCCAAGTTCTAGCTCTTGGTAGGCATGTCTCCTGGGCCCAAAACAGGGTCCTCTAAAAACTAAAGCCCAGCACTGGTGCCCTGTTGCCTGGCCTAAGAATACATTCATTTTAATGTACCTTTCAACACTTCTCACTTTGTTTTCTGCTTATTTTTGTACATATTGAATCTTACCAAACTAAAAGTATTCTAAGAATGAAATCAGCATCTAATTCATGTTTTATCCCTGTGGGACCTAGAAGTGCCCATTGAAAGTTTCAATAAATATTGGATAGGTAAATTAAATAATAACTAATGTAGAATGTTTTAATGTTAAAATATTTATATTACCTCTGAGAGCAGGTGTCATTTCAGCAAAAGCTCTGGTCATCATGCCCTATATGAAAAGGCAATAAATAGAGCAGAGTATAATATTTGAAATGTTTATTCCCAAAGGATTTACTATATTAAAAGGTTTCCAGTAAAAAAGTTCTTCCATCAGAGATGTTTTCAGGGTAATTTATAATCAGTGTTCACTTGAATGTTCTTAGATCAATACTAGAAGTGAAAAGGTTTGCAAGCTATTATCTATCAAATGAGTGTTTCATGAATTGCTTTCCTCTCTTCCCTTCCTTGTAATGAATATAATTTTTTAAATGTAGTGGTTTATTGAGCAGTCTCCTTCATGAAATACAAATAAAATACAGTTTTTTAAGTCATCCCATTTCAACAACACTCTATTAAATCTACATGTTCTGTTCCTTAATAATATTTCAAGGAAAGTCCTTGGATATAAAATATTTTCAATTATTAAAAATACACACTCAGCTAGGTGTGGTGGCGCACGTCAGGAATCCCAGCTACTCAGGAGGCGGAGGCAGGAGGATAGCAAGTTCGAGGTCTGCCTCAGCAACTTAGTGAGACCCTCAGTAGTTTAGCATGACACTGTTTCTAAATAAAAAGTTCTGGGGCTGAAGCTCAGTGGTAGAAAACCCCTGGGTTCAGTATTCCATCACTGCCAATAAATAAATAAATGAAAATATATGCTCTTGCACATGTGCACATTCACATACTCGTGTATACACACATACACACATGCACTCACACATGTGCGCACATCCCAGTACAGTTTCAAACATTGGTCTCATCTCCTCCAGCCCTCTTCAGATCAATGAGTAAGTCACAGGAAAGGAGGTGTCTGCCTTTTATCACTATACATAGGTCTTCATGAGCTCCTTGGGTGTTGAGATGGAGAGCTAGAATCAGGATGAAAAGAGTAAGTGTATCACTCTGAACTCACTATGTGATTTCAGTTTTCTATTGACTCTGCTGCTCATCTGGCCAGCCTTGACTATTTGCAGAGGACTTGTTGTCAGGTAGGTATCAAATTTCACCTCCCTGTTGGGCTCTAAAACACCTCTGCGCATTTCTTTGGAGTGGGGCCTCTGATAGTAGGCCCCACAAACAGACAACCCTTTCAAACATAGTTCAAGTAGATCTGGCTGTGCTTTGAGTGTAGGAAAGTTGGGAATAGTCTTATTCGTGGCAATGCAACCAGTGCACAGGACCCTTGCCTACAAAGTTCCCAAACTCGATTCGATATTTGTTTTGCTGGCACCATCCTGAAATTCTCAGTCAATTTTTTTTTCTTGAGAGAGAGAGAGAGAGAGAGAGGGAATTTTTAAAAAATATTTATTTTTTAGTTTTCGGCGGGCACACCATCTTTATTTGTATGTGGTGCTGAGGATCGAACCCAGCACCGCACACATGCCAGGCGAGCGCGCTACCTCTGGAGCCACATCCCCAGCCCTCTCAGTCAATTTTTTACAAGGAACTCTGCATTTTCATTTTGCACTGGACCCTGCAACTTATGTAGCCCAGTCCTGGATTCAGGAATCCTTACCACAACAAAGAGTAAGCAGCTTGCCTGCTCCACTGATCCCCCTCATGAATCTTTCTCTCTCTTGCCAATTCCTTTTTTCCATCTCAGCCATCTCAACAAGTCTGACACATCAAGTCACTTCCAATTAGAACAATTAACACCAAAATTCTCCACTTGTAGTACTACCACACTCCAAGTTTCTTTCCAAATGTCCTCATTGGGACAAGGGTAAAACTCTACCATCCCTCGCTAATCAAAAATGGACAACTTAAACTGAGGATATAAAGTAGTATGAGACTCTGAGTTCAATCCCCAGAACCGCCCCCCCCCACCCACACACACACAAAAGACAATTCTGTCAATTCACTATAATCAATTTGTATTCACCATGATGAATTCTAATAAATAGAGATTAGTCATTTATATTCATTGAAATGTTGAACCAAGAAGTGTGTCCTTGGGCTTCTGGGTTCAAGCTGAAAGAAGGGTAGATGGTACAGGAGAGAATATCATAACCATCATCAGCCACTGTTATCTCAACACTCCTGTGAGGTAGAACATGTGGTCACCACCCCTGTACCCACCCACATACCTTTGCCCTATAGGGTAGCATCCTGAATGGGGTTAACCTCCAATTCCAAGCAAGCAGTTTTTGAGATCTAGTACACATAAATAAGACCGATCTGAAGAGTTTGTTAACACACAAATCCCTGAGCCCTATCCCTGAGATTCTGATGTAACAGATCTTGGGTGGGGTTTGGCATCACTTCTGAAGAAAGGGTTGTATGTGGGCAGGAGCTGAGGGAGACAGGGTTCAAGTAAACCTTGGCTAGTGAAATAACCTCAAAATTGCAGAAAAACCTTAACAAAAAGAATACATAGCTCTACCCCAAATTTAGTAATTTTAATAATTTGTCACATTTTATAGCTCTTTTTCTATAGACACACAATTTGTTTTCAGAAACATTTGAGTGCAGGTGGCATAATTGTGTCTGCTAATTTTTTAATACTTCACGTATATAGTACCTAAGAACAACAATAGTCTGATATAGCAACTATCAAGTTCAGGATATTTAGCATTAATATAAAATTTTTACCTTATCTACTGTCCAAATTCCAATGTTGTCTATTATCCCAGTAGTGCTCTTCTATAGCATTTGACTCCAAGGAC